AAGGTTTTACATTTAGAGTCGGATTATCGAGTCACCACTGTATTTTCTTTCAGGTAGCGTGATAAGGAACCCTCTTGTTTCAAATCAAGCTAGAGAATAATTAACTTAATAACCTGAATGTGTCACCAAAGAGTTCAGAGTGTTGTGCAGCACATGGGTTTGTGTTGTCTTAAGGTACAGAATGTAAACTGTGGAGATAAGTTCGTGCCTTATTTCACTCCCCTCCAGCTTCTCCAGCAGTAAAACCAAAGTGGGGAGTGAAGGGAACAGACCCTGGAACACTGAGTTCACAATGTTTCACCAGCAGACCGCCGTGGGGGGAAACAGTAATAAATCAGGCCTTTTTTCACAAGCTGCTGCGAGGACGGGGGGCCTGTAGGTTCACTCCATGTTATATCCATGTGGCTGGAAAGAATTATCTCCATTTACCCACAGCAGCAGAAACACTGCTTTGTTCAAGAAGTTATCAGCAACAAACAGCAGATTAGATCTTAACGGAAACGAGCATCGTTTGTGTGCCTTCAAGCCTAAAATAGACTCAACAAGAACACAGTCCTCCAACACCTCCACGTCAGCTTAAGATGCAGAGAATGAATATTATAAGGGGAAGTTTAACACTATAAACATTCAGTAAAAAAGTGTGAAAATCTGGCAGCAATAAAAAAAAAAACAACGGTGGAATACTGTAACGTTCAGAAAGTGTAAAACGGTGGAAAATATGGTAAATATATGTAAGATAATTATATTTTTGAGCACTTAAATACAGCAAAAACGTGTAATTGTAAAAAATTTATTACCATTTGTAAAAATACTGATTTTTGACATTATTTACATTTTTGGTCTTTTCTTTACAGTTTACATGTAAAACTTTTTATGTGCTTTTCAAGACATTATCTGTAATTTCACAAAGCAGAAATAATCTTTAACGCAACATCTACAAACTTATTCACCATTTTTCAATCCTGAAAACACATCATTTTCTTTCAATTAACAGCCAATATCTGTGGAACAATGATATGTTTCGCGTTTTTAAACAAAAATGTAAAATGAAAAATGTAATTTTATGGTCAAACAATGTGAAAGAATGAATTACTTTTTCTGAAAACATAATTTTGAGGTGGACGTTCTGCACAGTTTTGGCCTGTTTTTTCTGTTTGTTTTTTTTAAAATGTGTAAATTAATTTCTTTTTCTGTGATTTTACTATAAAGTATCTGTAAATTAAAAAACACAGAAAACCTGTAAAATAACAGTTTTTGATCCTTAATATACATCATTTTTATTTCAAACAACAGCAAATATTTGTAAAATAATGATTTTCTTTCTGATTTATATACAACGGTGAAATTTTATGGCCACAAACTGTGAAAATACGAATTACTGTTTGTAAAAATATACATTTTTTTACAGTTTTGGCCTGTTTTTTTATTTTTTTGTTTTTTGTAGTCAACATGTACATTAATACTTTGTTTTCTGTGATTTTACTTGCAATTGAGCAAAACAGGGATAATCTGAAAAAAAAACCCATTGCAATAATTATTTACAATATTTCGGTCCTTAATATACATATTTTTTCTTTCAAATTTCTACTGTGGACATTATTTACCTTCTTTTTTGTTTTGTTTTACAGTCAACATGTACATTAATACTTTTTTCTGTGATTTCACTAAATGTTTTTTGTAGTTCAATAAAAACAGATAATCCGTAAAGCAACATTTAAAAACTTTACATACTTTTTCTTGACAATAACAGCAAATATTCATAAAATAATCATATTTTTATCTCATTAAATACAGAAAAAACTGTGTACTTTAACTGTCAAACGTTGTACTACAGTGATTAAGCCAGCAGGTGACTTATGATCGTTTTAAATGGTGACATTATTAGAACACTACCTAATGATCAAATTATCACAAACCTGTGTTGTCGCTCTTCATTCCTGCACATGGACGCTGAGCTCCGGCAGCCTCCTCCTCTGCTGTAATCACAGCTCAGATAAATCCACAAACACTCATTTAACCCGCTGTGCTTGTTTTTCTCGCCCAGGTAGGCGACCAAAACAGAAAGAAAAAGAAGCTCCAGGTAAAAATAATCCACGGCAGAAAAAGCAGTCACGTTGTTTCTCCTCGTTTCTGAAGTTGCTGAATCCGCGACAGGGTGGATTTTTTATTTTTTTTTACTGCGAATGTCCAGAAGCTGCTGCTGCTGCTGCTGCTGACTTTCACTGCGAGCTGCAGCAGTAACGCTCAGGTGCCCTCGGTCACCTGGGCTGATGACAGCTCCGCCATTACCCCCTCCTCAGTGGCTTCTCCCCTGAGAGGCTTCAGCAGAACAATGATCTCTGTGACCAAATCCCCCCTTTCAAATGCGAGCAGGACAAATTCTGCCTCGTTCCTCCTGCTCGTCCTCCCTCTCGGCACACTTGTCAGCTGAGTATTGGCCTCTGAGCAGACGCGCTGATGGAGCTTCCTCTGTAATGACACCAGATCCCACGCACTGCTTCTTCTGGCTGCGACAGGGAGGGAAAATTAGGCTGGTTTTATTTCTAGTTTGTGCAGAATCCTTCAGAAACAATCCAACAACACAGCAGCAATAAACCTCCGACTTTGCTTTGACAAATATGGAAATATCCTGACAGCATCCTAATCCTAAAATAATATTTAAAAGGTGGCAGTACCAAAGGCACAACAAAAACCCCTGAGCACGAGAGAATCATACCCGACTAAATTATAAAAACACTATTAAAACCTCACATGTTCTCCTTTTAACTCAACACATGCACCAAGTCTTTTTCTTCTTATGTAATCTTGGGATCTGCCTGCCTTGCTATGAGGGTTTTTTGCCCAGTAACTGAAGTCATTTTAGCTGCTTTCTCTTCTAACTAACTGTGTTTATTTTATAATGCATGAGCAGCATAATATCAGTACACACTGCTGGCAATAGATATCAACATTTTCATTCCTTTTACAGCTTATCTCTTGGTTTTGTTTCCTTTCTGCTGTCACTTATTATTTTCGTCTCGGGCTGCAGCGAACCATTATTTTGTTTTTATTGTAGATTAACTTGTCTGTTATTTTTTTGATCAATCACTTAGTTGTTGGGTCTATAAGACGCTAGAAGATGGTAATCAGCGTTTCCAAAGCTCAAGAAAATGTCCTCAAATGTCTTGTTTTGTCCAAAGAGATTCAGTTTATCGTCATAGAGGTATTTAATTCAGAGTTTACTTTTATTTTTTATTTGGGACTCAAAATATTTTGGCTGAATTTTGAGAGGATTGTTTTTTTTTTTTTGTATTTTCACCCTCAAAAAACATCTCACCTGCCAAGCCATTTCAAGGGTTCAGTAGCTCCAGAAATAAAACTCCCACAGCCGTGAAATGTGGCGAGAACACAGACAGAATAGTTTCAAGCGGATCCAAATGATTGAATGGTTCCAGAAGGACACATTTTTTAAATACTGGCACTCGAAAAAACTGTTTAAACTTCTACATAGAGGCAGTATTGTATGACCAGAAAGTTCCTGTCAGTGTATATACATGGATGGATCCATGTTTCTGCAAATTTGGACCAGACAAGGTTCCAATATTTTGCTAATTTGACTTGAAACGTGTCCAAAATTAAACAAAATCAGCCCAAAACGACTCGAAATTTGGTAAAATCAAATAAAGCTTCTCATAAATGAGTCAAAATTGTCCAAAACCAACAAAAATTGTCCTTAATGACAATAAGAAATGATGTTTGGTCCTTTAAAACTGAAAGAAAGTGCAAAATCTTCAACTTAAGGTGGTGTTGTGTCTCCATAAAGTTCCTGTCAGAGTCTGTCTATGGATGGATCCATGGTTCTACTAGAATCCAGTCTCTGGTCACATCTCACCACCTGTTGAGGCTCTAACATCAGTAGAACCTGATGTGGTGAAGTTGGACTAGACCAGGTTCCAGGATTTAAATATTTTAACTTGAAAACTGTCCAACATGACCTCAGAATGTATTAAAATATGATAAATCTTGTCCAAAATGTGTCAAAGTCGTCATTAATGACAATAATGAATAATTATTGGTCCTTGAAAGTGGAAAAAAAGAACAATATTATCAAACTAGGCTGGTACTTTTGCCCCAGAAAGTTCCTGTAAGTGTACAGGGCTAAACGGTTACTTAGACTTATTTATAGGACCACGAACACTGGCGTGCATCAGGGTGACCCAACAGATATCATACAGTTATCACCAAATTTCACGGCTGTGGGGGTTGTATTTCTGGAGATACTGAACCTTTAAAATGGTTTGACAGGTAACAGGTTTGAAAATGTGAAATTCTCCAGATTTAGTCCAAATATTTTGCAGAACTTAGTTTGAAATGACACAAACAAACCCACAGCATAAAAGTGAATAAGGAACACCTCTTAAACTCTGGTGGCCTGATTTCAGATGGAACTATTTTCACTCTAAGTGTTGATAAAATAAAAGAGAAAACAGTCCTGAATGATGACTGTAGAAATAACTGTTGGTTGAGCTCCACTCTGTTTATCACTGATTCTTATTCTCCAGATTCAGGACAGCCACTGGTGCCTAAGTGGAGGTCTGTCAGTCAGATTAAACACAGGAATAAACGCACCGGGATAATATATCAGACAAAATGGTGGTTCTCCTGCATTATGGATCTAAGAGCCTGAAACCAGCACTAAGCTCCGGTCCGTCTTCAGCTGTCAGCGGGTTTCGTACAGGCCGGTGGCTGCTCCGTTTCCGAACCGCCAACCCCCGTATCTCACCACCGTGTCACCTGTCCGCCTTCAGCCGCCGTCGGAGGCGTTTTCAGCGGCTCAGAGGACCCGCTGGAGGCTGCTCACCTCAACGCGTTCCACCTGTGTAATCTGGTTAAAGCACCTTGAGGCTAACAGCTGCTGACACCTCTGATTCGCCGACCGGGATCCTCCTCCGGCGGCGGCGGCGGCGTGAATTTAGAAGTGCACCGGGACTTACGGTGGCAGGGAGCGGGTCGGACCGTCTCTCCGGGTCGGTCGCCGTGTTCCGTTGTGTCGTCGTCGGTGCCGTCCCCGGTGCAGTAAACTGGGTCAGTGTTTCTCTCCGTACAGCTGATGTGCGCGCACCGACCGTCAAGCTAGCAGCGACGCGCGAAGCTGACGGTGGATTTCAGCGTAAAGCGACACCGCCGATGGGACGTTTAGCGGCAGACAGCAGCTCAACTTAACGACATTTAAATGGAATAATACATAGTCAATTATGTTATATTCGTGGTAAAATTAAACAAACGCCTATTCTGACCGTGGTTTATCTTGTTCTGTGTCTTAAATCAACATTGCGGTTGTTATTTCGGCCACATCCGGTTACATTCGGCTACATCCGGTAACCGCCACCTGCCGATCAACAGCAAACACATTCAGCTTCACGCAAACATTTAACCTGTCGGCCTCTGGTCATGCTACTCCTGAATTTTAGTGTTTATATATATTTTTTCTTTTAAAAAAAGGAACAAAATGTCCTGTTTGTCCCAGTAAAGCAACGCAACCTTCCGTCCCGACGACCCTGAAGTTCGCTTCAGATTCGACCCTTAAGGGTAAAGTTAAGGAAACTTAACTTACAGCTCTGAGCGACTGATTCTCCGTTTTTATTTTCTACGTTTTAATCAACTTGAAACGTGTTGGATATTTTAGGTAAAGCCTTGCTGTTCCCTGGACCCTATATTTACTGCTGAGAAACGTTTATTCTGCTTATCTGGGTGCAAAAAATGCAGATTTTTCTCTTTTTCTTTTTTCAAAAAATTCTTTATTTTATTTTTAAATCACTTTAGACCAGATCCCAATCAAACCCCTTTAATCTTTTAACCTGCATGTCTTACTTGCATTTTTACAGATATTTTATTACAGCTAAAATTATAATTTTTTATTTGCACTGTAGTGGGAGTAGGAAAACAGCATTTTGTTTTTTTGTTTTTTATGTTTGCAAATACACAATAAATGACAATAAATGAAGCTTAGAATCTTGAAACCCCTCTTTTATATATTGGTCAAATCTGGACTAGATTGTCCTACAGAAGCTAAAGAGTCTTTTAAACACAGTTTCTGATTTGTGAAAATGTATTCTATATGTAAAGCCTAAACGGAAAGATTTCACAGTTTTCTTTTTTTTTTTTTTTTTGCTTTGGGTTATTTGTTTGTTGCATGTAGAGTATCTAAAACCACTTATTATTCCAGATTATTTAGTGTCTGTTGGACAGTCTAGTCCAGATTTGATCCATGGTTTAATGTGGTCTACGTGTCATAAAAAGCAGTGAAATTTCCATGTTTTGCATTTTCACAAATAGAATAAAGGTTTCTTGCATAATCTGTTCCAGAATCGACCTGTCTTTATGTGTCTTTAAGTGTTGTTGTTGTTTTTTTTTTGTTTTTTTTTAAAAATCTTGACCTAGTTCGATGTTGCTCAGACGCAACAAAAAGTAATAAATAAGTCCTTATCTTTTTCTTTTTTTCTTATTAGTTTCTTGCACTTTCATAAATAACATAAAACTTTTAAGAAATCAGACTGTGTTGTAAAGACACTTTTTCCTCTCTGGCATAATATAGTCCAAATCTAATCAGGCCAGATGAAGTGTTTTATTCTTCTTCTTATTATTTGTCTCAGCTTGGTCTAATATGATCTAAATTTAAGTTAAACTAAAATCTTTTATTTATTTATTTTTTGCACGTTCACAAATGGAATTAAAGTTCAACTTTTTATTTGTAATTATTGATTATTTGCTTCAAATTTGTTGAAATTTCAGCAACAAACGGAGAATCAGTCGCTCGGCGCTCAAAGTTAAGTGTTTTTTCACCTTTCCCTTAACTGCCCAATCAGAAGCGAACTTCAGCGTCGTGTTTCTCCTACGTTGGTGCTCGGGCTAAAATGGCGTCGTCGCCTTCCAACAACCCGCTCTGTGATTGGCTTCCTGGTTTTGTTTGGCCGTTTTCATTGGTTCCTGACGGGATGTTTTGACATTTTACTTCCCGGTGAGCGCTGACGAGCTGCTGTCGCGTGAGAGGTCTGTCAGTAAAAGTAAGTTGTTTTTTTATTACCGGCCACTGTTTCGAATTTGAATTCTTGCTTTTTAAATGAACCCGTTGCTAACAACGGCTCAGCTAACCGACCGAGGATCGCTGATTCAGGCTACACCGCCGGTCCGCAGCGGCGTGGAGCTAAAGGGCGTGATTTCAGTCGGAGTTTCTGTCGGTTTTTAAAAGTTTGCCTCCTTTTTTATCCATCTTGTAATCAGCAACCAGGGTGATTATGGCTGACCTGGCCGAGGTGACACCGGTGATGGGCAGCCAGCCTCCCGGAGGAGAGGAAGGTGGAGGCGGGCTGACCGCAGCCCAGACGGAGGTGCTGGAGAGATGCCTTCATGCTCTGAAGCACGCCAAGAACGACAGTCACACGCTGGCTGCTCTGCTGCTGGTGAGTGTCAGCATCAGCACCCAATGTCCAGTCATCACCGGTCAGTAGTTATCTACTCAGCTGCCTCTTCTGCAGACTTTAACAGCTGGAAGTCTCCCATCATGATCTAAAGTCGGTTCTAAATGCTAAGAGAACCACATTAAGGTCTAAAGCTCACTTCCACATCTCCCATATTTCTAGCATTTGTATTTAGCATTGCAGCTAAATATTTATTAGCAAAGCAGCCAGCTCCAGTTTTAATTGTCTACATTTTACTCCTTGATGAACAGCTGTCTGAAGGGATGTCCTGATCGAGTTCTGCTGTGTCCGATCCAGTTTAAGTCCTTTAATATTGTGCACACAGGGTCACAAACTGGTGCTAGTTTTGTAGAAAGAGCATTTTCTGAATGCACACGACTAGAGGTTCTTTAAATCAGTCCAGTGTATCCGCTTGACAAGCTCTGCAGCGCATAAAAAAAAACTGCATTTCTGCATCCAGGCTACAATTCTACGATTTCATTCAGCCGACGCTTTTATCCACAGCGACGTCCATCTGAGAGCAGATACAGCACCAGCAAGGATCTGGTCAGGAGGAACCCATCTAGATAAGAGCCATAGAGCAGGTTCAGTGTGACAGGGTGTGGATGCCAACAGCAGGCTGTAGGGAGGGAATAGGAATTTGGTTTGTTTGTGTTCAGTCTAAGTGCAAAGGTGTTCAGTGAAGAGCTGCTCTTTAGTCTTTTCTTAAAGACTGAGAGAGAGTCAGCAGGTTGAAGTTTGGTACCTTCACAGAGGAGAAGAGTCCAGCTACCGACCTGAGGCCCTGTTGTGGTGGTTGGATCAGGAGGCTCTGGTTGGTCCAGTTAGTGAACTGGAGGGAGTGTAGACCTGAAGCTCTTCCTTATTCTTATTTTTATTCCACCAGATAGCAAAATAAATAAACTTATAACAGTTCCATTTAGTTCTGCCTTATTGTTGCACATCTGCATCACCCAGAGCAGTTAATCCAGTCATGAGTTCACGTTGAAGTTTAACATCTACACTCAGATGAAAACGTCGCTTCCACTCAGCGCAGCATCGTAGTGAAGCCAGAAAACTAAAACCTCAACGAGAGGAACTTTGGTTTCACTTCAAAGCGTTGAGGCCAACAGCAGAAGCCACAGCTGGTAGAAGAGCTCTTTGAATGGGACTCAGGTGAATTATGGCGGTTGTGTTTTTCAGGGTTGATTCAATAAGCTGCTAAAATAGTCTCCTAAAAACTAAACTAAATAGATTTCACAGAGGTGGATTTATAAGTGAGATCTTTCTCTGGACTGCAGTGATTTTTCTATTTATATTATTTTATATTTTTTCCATTTCAGGTGCTCATTTATTTCAGCTTCATTTAATGGTTATTTGGCAGCTACATTTCTAACGCTGTAGATCGTTTCTTATATTCTTTTTAGACATTTTTATGTCAATTACTACGTATCAGAAACTCTGTATATTGGAATAAAGCAAACGTTTGAGTAGAATTCACTGCAGGATTGTTGTATTTGATTTATAAAACTGACTTTAAAGAATAGAATAAAGAGTTTTATTGCCATTTACACGGATACATTGCGGTACTGGTGCATCGGATTGTTTGTGTGTTGACTGGAGTCGGGTTTATAAATAGGAAAAAATATGATAAAATAAAAAGGAGAAAAAGGTAAGAGCATCAGCAATAAAAAAGAAGACTATAAATGTACATCATAAAATAAAAATAAGTAGACATTATTTTTTTTTAAAAAGAAAAAAGAAAAGGTGTTAGAAATAGACACAAAAGTCGGTGTTTTCTGATGTTTTTTTCTCCGTGTTCTCAGATAACTCGCCTCTGTCCAGCCAGCCAACTGGACAAACCCACTCTGCGGCGAATCTTCGAGGCCGTGGGTCTCAACTTTCCAGCTCGGCTCCTGGTGACGGCGGTCCGAGGCAGCAGGAGCTCAGCTCTACCCCCCGATGAGCTGCTGTCTCTGGGCACCGCTCTGCTGGCCGCCTTGAGCACGGACCCAGACATGGCCTCCCACCCCCAGCTCCTCACCACCATCCCCCTGCTGCTGGGCATCTTAGCTAATGGGCCGGTGTTAAACCAGCAGAACCGAGCCAGGCAGAGTCCAGACAGGAAAGTCCAGGCTGAAGACGTCTCGGACCCAGAGTGCGATTCAGTCAGAGAGACCAGCGAGCAGAGCGGCGACGAAGCCGACAGAGCGTCTCCAGAAGGCTCCTCCAGGCTGGACGAGGCCATGGCCGCTGACTGCTACCAGGTTCTGACAGCTGTGTGTGCTTTACCCAGAGGTCCAGACCAGCTCCTGAGCAGAGCCGCCGTTCCTGCTTTGTGCCAGGCGGTGGAACAGAACCAGACTCTGAGCCGCCAGAGGGGCCTGGCCCTGCTCGGCTGCCTCCTCTCAGGTAAAACCAAAGCCAGAGCGTGGAGCAGACACGCTGCAGAACTCCTCCCGCTGCTGGTCCAGCTCTCCAAAGACTTCTGCCAGTCCACAGACCAGCCCCGGTTCACGATGTGTTCCCAGCTGGTCCAGTTTCTGCCCCCTGCTGGGGTGGCAGCCAACAGCGAGGAGCTGAAGGGCGCGGTGAGCCGGGTGTGGGGGGCGCTGAGGCCCATGATGCAGGCCAAGTTAACGCCCAAACAGATCGCACCCATCCTGGTCCTCAGCGCCTGTCTGCTGGATTTATACGGCTGGGAGCTGGTGGGACCCCCGAAGTTCTGCTGCTTGCTGGTGAACCGGGCCTGTGTGGAGGTCAGGATGGGTCTGGAAGAACCGCCGGGGAACGATCTGAGCCCGGAGCTGCAGCAGACACTCACTGGTGAGATAAAGATCAGAACAGCAGCATCGGATTCATGTTCACAGTTCAGCTACAAACACCGGTTGTTAAGATGTTACTCAAAAGTACTTGTTGTATTATTTTATTTTGTTTAATATTATATTATATTATCCATCCATCCATTTTCTATACACCGCTTAATCCTCATTAGGGTCG